ATATCAATATATATGTTCCTGTATGCTACCCCAAAACACTTAGGTCATCTCGACTCTCTATTTTTATATTTGTGAGGCAATTTGAGGTAAAAAAATCGGGAATAGTAACTGCAGCAAGAGAAAATCGAAATTGATCTGAATCACACGGACACTGCGTAGAAAATACTGACAAAGCAGCAACTGAAGCTATTTCTAATTTTCAGGGAGCATTATAATATTCCTGTTTCTTTTCTCCTCTAAGTTATATTTTCTAGTTAAAATCTGATGAAGTTATACGTTTCCTATAACAACCATGATGTCTGAAATATAAGCCAATCAAAACGAATTATTGGACACATCTGTCAGGTTTCATTTTTCATCAAGAAAAATCATTAATCATGAAGAAAAAAAAAACAATCATTTTCCATTTTCTGTAAATTTACTGTGAATAAATTTTAAAATGATTCAAAACATTACTTTAAGGTATTAATACCTCCTGGTATAGATGATAAAGTAAGATTTGACACAACTATTAAGAATTTTTGGTTTTAAATGATCTTCATCTTTGTAATTGATTTGGCTTTATAATAAGAGTGTTACTGATGAGTTGTATGTAAACAAAACATATGTCTTCGTATCAATTAATAATATCTTTCATGAGTTCTTGCTTATTGTTCCCAATTTGTCTAGGTTTCTGAACTGTTGACATAGATATAGGAAGATGTGGTATGAGTGCCAATGAGACACATACATTTTCTACAGTATCCTATTATATATTTCACAGGAATGGCCATCTTAGATTTCAGTTAAAAATCAAAATTACAAATTATTCTTGAGAACAAGGATATCGTCTTCTATGTATAAAAGGCATCTTTTGGGGTTTTTATTGTGTTGTGGGCTTAATGTAACTTGGTTTAATCTTACATTTCCCTTTTAATATTCATTTTCCTCTGACATTAATCTAATCTAGTAAATAGTTTCTAAAGAAGCTGTTTGCCGTTTTTTCCCAATATGGTCCTGTTAAATCAAGTTCTGCTTGTGGCCCACTTAAAAAACAGATTGCAATTCGGATAATGACCAGCATTATTCCATTGGATCTCTTGTATAAGCTATTATTGTAACAGATACTAAAATGAAACTTGCTACGATTACGATGAAAACGTAACAATAACGAACAAATATAGTTATGTTTAAGGCAAATTGCTGAAATGCAAGGTTGGGTTGGAAACTTATCAATTACGGACATAACAATAATATTTGTGTCTACGTTAAATTGGGTTATTGTTACGTCTATGTATTTCGATGTATGTCATATACAAAATTCTACTGGGAAATCTTTTATTCTAAATTGATTTAACAATACAATTTTACATATACATTGTATGGTTTATTTAGAATGGCAACTTCTACACATCCAGTATGTGCTTTTTATGGCTTGTTTCAGGCAAACATTTTTGGTGGAACAACTCAAAGCAACAATCACAAAAGATGGTTGCCGCAAGCTGCACATCGGTTTTGCACAGAAAACAATACCACTCTGCAATGTTCCTTTTGAACGTAATATAGGAAGTGAATAAACTGTTAACAAAGAGATATGTCTCGCCTTTTTTATTTTGCAAGTAAAATGCAAATGTTGAAATCAAACTAGCAAAACTTTAACATGTAAGTACGGAAAATATTAAAAGTCAATGAACCATGACTTAAGGTACAGGGTCAAAAAACCTCCATGCAATACATATGCATACCAAATATCATTGACCTACCACTAGTGATTCTCAATAAACCGACCTAATCACAATCTTAAAACATGTAAACTCTAAGCAAAGGTTTCAAAGTCAATATACCATGACTGAGGGGGCAGGGCCAAACAATCTCCATGGTAATGAGATATGCCAATGCTAATTCAACTGCATACCAAATATCATTGACCTACACGTACCACTAGTGGTTCCCCATAAACTGACCTTATCACAAACAAATACTAGTACATTGTTTAAACCGCCCCAGCCGACGGAAACAACATACTCATGTCCCACTTTTTGACTCCGTCAAGAAGACAAAAAACCATACTTTTGGTTTGGACGTGCTCCATCTGATTTTGAAACGAAGTTACATACGCCACAGATACATACAAGTTCACAATATTTAAGTTCACTGTTGAGATCACAACTGTCAAACTTCACTTTTGATGCATTGAAAGGGAACTTTGTCTATATAAAACTGGACTACAAAATTCAAATCTTGAAATTTTGGGAGTTTTGAGTCAAACGCATCCAAAGTTTGAAATTTTTCACACAAAGAAAAATTGGTAATGGGCCACTTCTTCCATTGTTCAAAATATAAATGACAGTAATAAGGGTAAGCGTGAAAGTTAACTGTGAACTGAAGTGAACTGCATTCTTCTCTTCTAAACATCGAACCATTGAACATTGCCATCAGCACTTCTTAACTATAGTGCTATCTTGAGGAACTTACATGATTTCAAAGAAATAATATCTCATTTTTAAGCATTAAATCGTCCAAAAATTTGTTGCCTTGATATGCACTGTGATATTTCTTTTGTTTTATGGAATTACGCCCCCTTTCAAAAATCCTGGATCCACCCCTTAATATTATTGTAGCAGATTTATGTTTATTTAAAAGAAGCATAGTCAACTGTTAAGTAGACCTGTAAATGTCAACTGTTCATAATTTTTGATAATGAAGAATGCATCGTCTCTTTTTGTATATTTGGAAAAAAGTTTGGGGGATCAACTTTGATACCAATTCACAGATTGTACTGAGATTTAATCAATTACTTCCCCATACATAAGATACTAATAAAATACTATCACAAATTCTTATCAACTGTTTAAAATAAATTGCTTCGCCTAGCGCAGCTGGATACGACTGCAGAGGTCCAACCTTGAACAGTTGGGACAAAAATGGACACAATATTCACGCTCGATACAGGTCTGAATTTGGATTGTATGATTTGAATTTATATTCAATTTTTTGCTTTAGTGCAATACACTATGCTCTTGCGAATTGACCCCCCCCCCCCCCACCACCAATTTTTTTTACCCCGTCCGCCAATTTTTTTTTAACCTCCCCACTTTTTAAAAAAATTTCTTTCCCATAATCATGGCTAAAATTAATACGTGTATACATTAATCAGCATTTTTAAAATTATTAAAATAGTAACTTCTAAAAATAAATTGACAGCTAATCAATCACCTCAAGACAATACAACATTTCTTTATACATAATTTAAAAGCAGTGTAAGGGAGTTAATTCAAACACAACATTGTACTTAAGTAATTGTCCATTAAACAGGACACCCTTGTTTTTTCTCACTTTTTTACCCCTAATTCCTAAACGGTTTGAGCCATAACACCCCAAAGCCAATCCTAACCATCCCTTTGTGGTATGGAAACTTGTGGTATAATTTCAGAGAGATCCATACACCGTTCCACAGGTTATTGTCTGGAAACTAGAAAAATGCTTATTTGGGAGCCTTTTTGGCCCCTAATTACTAAACTGTCGGGACAATAACCCCCAAAATCAATCCCAACCTTCCTTTAGTGGTTATAAACTTTGTGTTTAAATTTCATAGATTTCTATTTACTAATACTAAAGTTATTGTCCGGAAACCAAATGTCTTCGGACTATGACGACGTGATACCAATATACGACCGCAAATTTTTTTGTGGTCGTATAAAAATGATATCCTACATTTTATATTTCCAATCATAAAGACTTATACTTTCTCATAGGAACTATATATTTGAGTGCATTTCCTTAAAATTAAAGGAAACTGTTTCACTTCAAAAACCAATTATTTTATTTCTATTCAGGGCGCAAATTGTATGTGGAAAGAAGGCAGTATACGATTAAAATATTGGTTTACAATTTCAGCCAATCATTAACATGTTTGTCCAACATTAAAAACCTTAGTGGTGATATCAGATCCAGATTGGTTGACTCAATTTCGAAAGACTGTAAATGATGAAAAACAAGCATTCTGAGAGTATTGCATGGCAATACATAGTCCCCTACCGGTTATGAATTCATTGTACTGGAACAAAATGCTAACTTGATCTATAACTTTGCATGGTGTCAACTATACAACAAATATCAAGTCAATATCTTCAAGCATGACGAAAAAAAGTGTGGAAAACTGATTATTTGAGTGAATTTTCTAAGTCCAAGGACCATTACTCTGCACAAAATCATCAGACCGAAACAAAATTCGAACTTGATCTGGAACTTGTCATGACAAAACTATATACCAATTACTAAATCAATATCTTCAAGCATGACAAAAAAAAGTGTGGAAAACTGATTATTTGAGTGAATTTTCTAAGTCCAAGGACCATAACTCTGCACAAAATCATCAGACCGGAACATAATTTGAACTTGATCTGTAACTTGTCATGATAAAAGTATATACCAAATTTCAAATCATTATCTTCAAGCACGAAGAAATTCAAAGTGCTTGTAAACATTGAAGGGTAAAGATTGCTTTAATTTATCAGTGCGAAGTAAAATTAAATATTGCATTGTATAAAGCATTGGTTGTAGTTGATTCAACTACAATTCTGGACAAAGAAAGATAACTCCAATTTTTAAAGATGATATTTTTAGAACAGATATTAGATTCCTGCACCTTGCAAAAATTATGTAATTTTCTTGACAAGTATAACATCATTTTGTAACTTGAATATCTGAGCATATATTTTATTGTTATGATCAATGCACTATATTTTGTGTATCTCAAAGGTAGTGATAAACCTTGGAACATTTAGATATCAAGTCAGTAACATAGGGTTTTGATTGCATTTCATGCAATCTTAACCCCAAAAAGTGTGGAAAACTTGATTTGCCGGACTGACGGATGGACAGACAGACAGACAGACCATATAGACAGACAGAGTGCAAACTTAAAGTCCCTTTGACTTCATCGGTAAGGGACTAAAAATCTCACAAGTTTCTTCATGTCAAATTAACTAAAAAACCTATGGCACTGAAAAGAAACTAAATAAAGTGTTGTTTCTTTATTTGTTTTAATATACAAATGAGGTGATAAAGCCATTAATAACAAATGCATGAACACTTATAAAAATCACATGGTTTTGTCCGGTACAATAGTACCCAAGTCACATGATCACCACATGTACAAAATACACTACACAGTCATCACAAAAAAATAATCTATTATAGCTACTCTCATCTTTAGGTACAAGAAGAAAGTAAATGCAACAATAACAGCACCCTTTACGTAAAGAAATGCTCTACACACTATTTTCTGTTCAACAACACAACCACACATTTATTTACCAGTTACAAAAATACACATTTATGATGGCCATCTATCAACAAGGCATAGAAGGGAAGGTATGTACTACTACAACTACAATGTTTGAACTGGAGATCTCTTGTATAAGTTTTTTTTCTCTAACAGATATTACAATTCTACTTCTTTTGAAGGAGTAGAATACAATTATTTAATTTTGAAGGAAACTAGATATTGGATAATAAACTTAAAATGCATTTTCACTAAATTAAAGAAAATATGGATTGACACTATGAATTATGATGTGCTAAGTAACCTTCATGACTTGTTACATAACATTTAAAATATATCTTAGCTGGATTAATATTTTTCACCTCAAAACCGGTTCTCAAATAAATACCACTATTACTATGACTCTTATTTTGCAAAAAACAAGTCTATTACTTTTGTGTGCATTTAAACTTTGTGGAAATATAAACAGCAGCAGCCATTAATCAACCAATTATCTACAAACAAGACGTCAAATTAAAATTTTTAGAAGAGCTTTTCAAATATTGAGCCTTTAGAATCAATCTATTTAGACAGAACTCAGGTAAAATCTATCATTTACATAAATCAATATATTTCACTAATAAATTTTTCTTTTCAACAGATTATAATTATTTTTAAAAAGTGTTCTGTTATTATCTAAACAGCATTGACAAAAATATTTTTTTTATATACAACTGGTTTTAGCCGTGGAAAGTATTGAAAATAAATCAAGATCTCCTCTAGTTCAATGATATGTGTAAAATGCCATCTACAAGCACCTAGGGGACTAGACCATCAACAGGACGGAATCATGCTAAAGTTCATCAAAAAATAAAATCAATAAGGCACTTTCAATCAACAATGAAAGCCTCACAATGGAAATATATAAATATAATAAATACTGTGTAACATATGGAATGCTGTACATAAAATGGAATGAAGAAATTTACATATCACATGACTTTGTGTTGTTTACATTGAATGATGATGTCACATGACAAATTTGTTAATTCATAATTATTGCTTTGCAAAAAGAAGCTACTATAACAATATTTGACTGATCAAATAAAACCATGTAAACAGCAACCTTAAAATAATGATCCAATTAATCATAGTGCAATAAATTAATAGGTTTGGCAAATGTGCAGATTAAGAAATGATGGTTATGTAACGAAACTGGCCACAACCACAGTAAAGGTGTATCAATTAAAGAATATGTGGTCAAATGTGAAAGTACAGAACAACCTAGTTGCCTTATCTTTAATTTATTTTTAAAAACAGAATTCCTTGAAATACTTTCCCAAATTTGTCCAAAGCTTGCTTAAACTTTTTATTTTTCTCTTTTTTGAAGATGCAGATGGGTCAAAATATTCCTATGAGATAGATGTTTCTATTGTAGATCATATCTCTGCAATGTATATATTATATACTTTTATAAATTAAACTTGATATTTCTGTTGAAACAAAACAAGATAATCATTCTAAATCAATTATATCTAATGCCATACAACCTTTTATGAAATGGAGGGGGGGAATATAGATAACACCAAAGTTTAAAAAAATTACTTTGCAATGAAAGGTGAAATGGTTATCAAACAGTTTTGCAGAGAGACTGAGGATAAAGTCCCATGTCAACAGTGAACAACCTTTCTTATTGTTAAAAGTCACCATCAGATGACAAAGAATAAAAGGTGCACTGAATTTTTCTATTTTTTTTAAATAGATCATTAAAATATTGTTTTTATTTTTCTTAAGACCATTGATTCAAAAGAATGAATACAGACTCCTTTAATAAATATAGTAAAAAAGCAGGTTGTCTGTTTAGTTGACATGAAATAATGATGTTTTCATCAAATTTCATTGCATTTTCATTGATATGAAATACATTTCTATAAGATTTCCTCCTTTTTTAATGAAAATATTAAGAAGGCATTTTGATATATTTCCCATAAAAATTATGCTATTGAAAATATAAATCAGGATTACATTGTTTATAAGTTCATTCATATGAAATATACGCAATGCGAAGTATTTCCTGAAATCTGCTCTATATGCATGCAATGAAATGTACAACATTCAATTATCTATCAATATGTAAATATTGCTTTCGTGAACCAATGGAAAGGTGTGCGATGAGATCACTGCATCATGCTAAACTATGCTTGAGTGAGACAAAAGTGGATAAAGGACGGAAAATAAAGTGTGAGACAGGCAAATAAAGAACAGATTTCAGGATATCATGCAGGTTTGAGACATAAAGCATAAATGGTTACTGATGAAAATGGTTAATGAATTTGAGCATTGGTTAATTTCTAAGGTTATTTTCATTACAAAATATACGGAGGTGATAGATATACTGAGGAAAGCTCCTATGTCTTTTCTGATATAAAGCACTGTTACAAAGCACTGAGGATGAGCAATACATACTGACAACAAAATGGTGTTAAAAAGATACAGCGTCTGTTTTAATACTAACATACTACTTTCTGTAAAGCATTTCTAAGTAAGCTTTTACAGTTAACTTTTAAAGATAGAAAATACAATGTCAAGTTACAGATTCCATGTATGATAATACCGTAATGTAAGGGAAAGGGACTAGTATGAGTATTAAAACAGAGAGAAAATGAAGCGTGTTAACACTACAGAGTCTTTGGTCAGCAGTGAATCTTCACAACACCATTCCTTGTCACCATGCATCATCTCCTGTCAAATAAGAAAAATACAACAGTTACCATCTACTGTATCTCATTCTCTTTCCCAAAATGCAACAGTTATAATTCTTTTTTTTTTTACCACAATGCAGCAAATATTTTACCCTGTCCCTTCCCTAATTCAAATAAATCTATCATATTATTCTTTTTGCATTCTTAAACAATTGTACTGTATAAAATTTCTTATTTCTTTAACAAATATATCATTCTACTTTATACAAAAAAATGTTCTTGTCAAATACTTTCTCAGAGGGTATCTTCAAATTATTTTTTGTCAACCGTAGCTTTATATACCCAACTAAAAATATAAATCTACACCAACTCACAAGAAATTAAAATGTCAACTTATGATAATACAAAAATTTATTTTCGAAGCAATTCCAAATCTAGCAGTAGACTACAATGAACATAGTAGGCGTTAAATACCAATTAAGTATCACATGCTAACGACCTAAACCCATTTTTTATCACAGGCTAGTACACCAGCTAAAACATGCTAAACATGCCAATTATTTTTTTTTGAATAAATCAATACCCTTAAAAGCATGCCAACAATGTTCACCTATTTTTAAAACTATGATGCTGAAATGCATATGTATTGTGAAGAATTGAACAAATAACAGTAAAGATTTAATGTAATACAGAAATCAAGTTTCTTCAATATTTATAAAAAAGTATAATTAGCTTTATTTGATTTCTCGAATTTCTTTTTCTTTTACACAAAAACATGAACAGCAAATTATTCCTTTGCTTAACTCAATGTATCATTTATAAATTCACTAAACATGTGAGGTAGAACTAAGAGGTTGTGAATTAACAAATAAATAACTAACATTAATAAGCAAATATTTAGCTAAATTTTGAATAATTTAACAGTTAAATATGGTATTAATAATCAATATTTGATTCATTCTAACAATATGAATAATAAATTATACACAGCCATATTCATACCAAACAGAGTTAGCTTTAGGGTCTTTTGGTGGTTCTTCATTAACCGGTACTTGGCGAGGAGGTGTATCCTTCCGTAATGTGGGTGTTGATGAACGATAGGTATCTGCCTGAGGTAATTGGCGACCACCAGAACGATTGGCTCCTGGTTCTCGTAGCAAACTAACACGACCAGTTGTTAAGGGTGGTTCTCTACTTCGTCTTGGTGGTGGTTTGGGTGGTGTCCCTTTACTAACATTATGCATGTCTTTGGGTCTATTGTTCATATTTTCCTGATTCTGAAGGGCTTCAAACATATTAGGAGGCACAGATTTTGGACGTTCAATACGCTGCACACGAGCATAATGATTTTCCGGACGATTTTCATTTTGTTTATTGTCATCAATACTGAAATAAATATTGTTTTGTTGTGATTCGTGAAATGTTTGTGGTCTATTTAATGACTGACCTCTCATCAATGGTCCACTTGGAGGTAATTGTCCATTTGTTTGTGGGGATGAATTGTGATGCGATGCAGAAGAGGGTGGTCTCCCTTGTTGAACAACTGGTGAGAATGTCTGATTGCTACGGACAGGTGACCCTGATCTATACCGAGAAGTAGGACCAGACCTAATAGACTGGTCATACTGAACTGAATTGTCCTGATTATTACTATAAAGACTAGATGAATTTGAAGAGTTATGCGACTGTGAAAATCCTGCTAAACGATCCAGTCGATCTGAAGGTGTGTCATTTGGTGTAGGTGGTAACTCACGATTCTGTGGAGATTTATATGGTGACGGATACACATACTGTAATGTCCTTGATGCAGTAGAGGGAGTTGATCCCAGTGAATGTTTTCTAAAGTCAGGTTTTACAAGTGGAGAATACCCTGCTTCCTCGAACTTCCTAATGTTATTTATATTATTGTAAGCAGGAGTAGATGTTTCAGGATGATCACGTTTAGACTGTGGTGGAGTAGACTGATCCAAACTATCAGGTCGACTCTCATACCCACTTCCACTGCTCCCTGCAGATATACGTGACATTCTTGAAAGATTTAATTCTATCTGAGATTGCGACACAACATCTGGTATAGAAATCCTATTATCTGATGGCGGATTTGGAGCTTGTCTTCTCCGTCGATTTACACTATTGTCTGAATTTTCACTACTTTTGGATTCCAAATCCTCTCGATTTTCAGATTTGTTACCCTGAAATATTCATGGAAATACTAATATTGTATAACATAGAAATTCATATCATAAAAATAATAAATATTTTTTCAAATCTTTATATTGTATGATTATTGTATCTATCCTGAAAACCAATGTCATCCCTAAAAATAAACTTTTAATACATTACTTGTAACAAACACAGTAGCTGCCAGTATCAGTTCCTCAAATAATAGAATTTATGATTCAGCATAAATTCGGTTATTAGTGTAAGCTATGTGTGTCATTGGCCGTTCTACTTTTTGTCTAATGTGGGTTATCACTTATCTGATTGATCACGCGCAGTATGACTGCGCATGCAATCTTTTCAATAGCTACATTCGACGGAAGCAGACGGATATATTTTGGTGATTTCAAAAAATTCAGGATTCAGATTGTTTAGGTTTTTCTACTTCTTTTCCAATACCGGAACTCAGGTGGTATATTTAGAATAAGTCTCCCGTATAAATCGCGGGATGTTTTATTTAAATATAAATGTTTCAGAGCAAATTAAATTTCAATTTATTGCTTATTTTACATGTTTGTATATTTTGTCTTATCCGGAGGTAGCGATCGGCGTCTTGTATTAATGATAATTGGGATACTTGAAGTTTCTTTATTCTTTATGTAAGTTACATAGAAATCTATAAGTGTTTATGGTATTTCATCAACAAGATATCAGCCCTTGACACCGATCTGCAAAAAAAAAAAGTTCACTCCGGCGGTCACAGCTTCTTGTTAATTAATCATTATGCATGCTCGACATACATCTGATTATTATTTTGTTACGTTCATCTATTATAATAATTTTGTTTATTTATTTATTTATTTATTTATTTTATTGTTTCCTTCATGTTTGTATCACCACTTAATTAGTTAATATTACGAAACATCGTTATAGATAGTATATTTAATACAACGATTGTAATCTGTCTGTTTTTATTACATGTTTCATTATAAGAGGTTTTCATTATCATAATAGATGTGATTTAATTAACGTTTAATATTCTGGTAATTATCCCTGTGTATGCTTACGTTATAACCTCGTGTGCTCTATTTTTAGTAGCTTATCATTCGGCACAGGTTGTTTAATCAGCCTCCTGGCACGTGTAACCTAGATTAGGTTTTTGTTATTGTATATGCTGACCGACATTTGTGTATAGTAAACCAAATATTTTATTTATGACATTGAAAGGTTAATGTACTTGGTTATAGGCGTCAATGAACTTTTTGAGGTCGCTTTGTAATTAATACTTTACTTATAGTATAAAGCAATATTGTTTGTTTGTTCAATTATATTCTTATAGTTTTAGATAAGATGAACACAAGAGGGTCAAAGAAAAAGCGCAAAGCAGCTACAAAAACAACAACATTAGAAGCTACTACCCGACAAGAGGAAACACAGCTTCCAATAGTAACAGATCCAGTTCCTAACCATCCCTCAACTTCAGGAGGAGTAGCAGTAATGGACCCTACATCAGTGTTTACAAATCGACCAGGTAATGCAATTAGTGAAGATCATCTAATGTTCATGCAAACACCTACCTACTCGCCTAGCCTTGACGATGACATAACATTACATGTCAGTCAGAATTTAAGACAAAAAATTCAAAGGGGCGAGTATGTCGATTTGGCTCTTTTATTGCATAACTCAGTCATTGATAATGACAAGCAAAAAGTCACTTATGAGCAAGGGCAACTTGTCATAAATCCAGTTTTGCCCCAAACAAAGATCACAAACATCGAAACTTGGTCCGATGCCTTTCTAATTTTTATGAGTATATATTGTTCTGTGCATCCCCATAAATTCCAAGAACTTGTAAAGTACATGACTTCTGTTCGAAAAGGTGCCAGACGTCATGGAGGTATCGGTTGGAAATACTATGATGAGCAGTACCGCTTGAAAAAAGCTCGAGACCCAAGTGGGTCGTGGGGTAAATTAGATTCGGAATACTGGATGTGGTATATGCAGTCCGCATCGGTTCAACCGGAGGGCCAAGCCACAAATCATGCCTCAAACAATCGTGCTTTTTACACAAACCAAACGGCTACTACACTAAGATGTTACAGTTTTAATTTCGACGGCATATGTAACAAGCATTATTGTATCTACAATCATTCTTGCTTGCGTTGTGGTCGGCATCATCCAATTATAAGTTGTTTTAAGCAAAACCAGTTGCATGGGCAAGTGTCCAGTCAAACTAGGACTGAACCTAGATTCAGTGGTCCAAGATACACTAGACCAAGGTCTTATTTTCGTTCCCCAAGACCAAATTATCAACCTCAAAGACCAAATGGACGCTTTATGGGAATTAGGCAGAACACCTATTAAGGTTGATTGTTTAGAAAAATACTTAAAATATTACCCAGACTCAAAAACGTCTTTATTGTTATTGGATGGTTTTATGAATGGTTTTAGTCTTCAATATTCCGGTCCTCGAACTCCTTTTATTTCTAAAAATCTCAAGTCAGCTGAACTGCTTAAGACAGAAACGCATTCGAAATTAAATAAAGAAATTGCTTTAGGTAGAATGTGTGGTCCTTTTAAAATAATGCCTATATCAACCTTGCGCACTTCACCAATTGGATTGGTCAATAAATCTGATGGGAGTTTTAGGCTTATAATGCACTTGTCTTTTCCAAACGGTTGTAGTGTCAATGATTTTGTCAATCCCAATGAAACATCTGTAAAGTACACATCCTTTGATGAAGTAATCGACGTGGTGTCATCTCTTGGCAAGGGGGCCAGACTTGGGGTTCAGGACATAAAGCCGCTTTTCGTCTTTTGCCTATTTCTCCAGGTGATTTCGATTTACTTGGAATATATTTTGATGGTAATTTTTATGTGGACAAATCCCTTCCATTCGGTTGTTCTATTGCTTGCGCCTTGTTTGAAAAATTCTCTACATTCCTGCATTGGTTGGTTGTTTCATCTGCTGGTAAGCATTCAGTTAAGCATTATTTAGATGATTTCATATTCGGCGGTTCTGCAAATTCGGATGACTGCTTGGTTTTAATGAACACCTTTACTGAACTTTGTAATGAGTTAGGCGTGCCTATAGCCGAGGACAAGACAATACATCCTACTACAAGATTAACTTTTCTTGGCTTAGAAATAGACACAGTTGACATGGTCGTTCGTATTCCAGTGGCAAAGCTTATTAAATTACGTTCTCAACTTCAACCAATGACAATAAAGCGGAAGATTAAATTTAAGGATTTCGAGTCGCTAGTTGGGTTATTAGCTTTTTGTTCACGTGCTGTGCCATCCTCTAGAGCATTTTTGCGGAGATTTTATGATGTTATTGCATCATTTTGGGTGAAAAAACCATTTTTCTCAGTTCGAATTACCTCTGAAATTCGAGAGGACGTCATGGTATGGTTAGAATTCTTAAAATCTTTTAATGGAGATTCTTATATTATTGGTCTGAATTGGACAGATAATGATATTTTGCAACTATTTACTGATAGTGCAGGCAATGCTGAACTTGGTTGTGGATCTTACTTTAACGGAAAATGGGTACATTTCAAATGGCCAGATTCGTGGGTAGGATTAAACATTTTACAAGACATAACATTTTTGGAACTCGTTCCTATACTTCTAGCACTCTGTATATGGGCTCCTCTTTTGAAAAATAGTAAGATTTTGTTTCGTACAGACAACATCGCGTTGGTTGATATACTAAACAAGAGAACATCAAAATCAAAAAGGGTAATGTCAATAATTCGACCATTCGTGTTGCGTACCATGCATTACAACATTCAGTTCAAGGCAAAACATATTGTAGGTGCCAAAAATAATATAGCTGACGCTCTCTCTCGCTTTCAGTTAGACAAGTTCAGAAGGTTAGCACCATTGGCGGAGGATACACCGGAAATAGTCCCTCGGGAGTTCATAGACCTGATCTCCAAACTGAAATTGACCGACTAATTGTATCAGCAGTCGCACCTAATACGGCAAAGGTTTACCAACAAGCTTTACGGTCATTTAAAGATTTTAGGGCCTTATTCCAATTCGAAGATATATGGCCTATTCCATTACATCACATAACTAACTATATTGCCTATATGTCATTCACTGGAACTGCGGCCTCAACTGTCAAATCGTATATCTCTGGGTTGAGTTTTTTCAGTAAGATTAACAATTATACTGACTGCTTTAATGCTTTTGTTGTCAGAAAGCTACTCAAAGGAATGAAGCGTTCACAGCGTCGACCAAAGGATGCTAGGTTACCCATAACGCGTGATTTATTGTCAAAAATTTATAACGTTCTACCTGCTGTTTGTCATAATGATTTTGAAACTAAACTCTTCCAAGCTTCGTTTTCCTTGGCCTTTTTTGGTTTCCTTAGAGTTGGCGAACTAACCGCTGACCAAAAACACGCCTCAACCCAATCCCATGCACTTGATTATAAAGACATTAAGATAAATCTATCCAGTATTGAAATCCGCTTACGTTCATCTAAGACTGACCAGTGCTGTACAGGAACTACAATTGTTATTGATGATAGGCCTGGTGATGTTTGTGCAGTTTTCGCTTTACGTAATTACTTAAAAATGTCGCTGGTCAACTGTTTTGTCATTTTGATGGAACCCCTATCACTAGATACCAATTTTCGGGAGTCCTAAAAAAGTCGCTGAATATTTTGGGTTTAAGTCAAGCAAAATATAGTTCTCATTCATTCAGGATAGGGGCTGCCACAAGCGCTGCCATGAATGGCTTATCTGATTCTGAAATTCAGGCCATGGGTAGGTGGAAGTTTGATTCATTTCGTTCATATATTCGAATACAACAATGTCTATAACTGTTAGATTTATTTATAATTTTGTGTAATGAACTTGCAATCACTTTAGTGGGACTAACCGCTATTTAAGAATTGCAGGTTCACCAATTACAATTTGGATTGTTGGTTCCTCCTTGGTGAAAAATGCATTTGTTCAAGCTAGAACAAGACCAGGTGGCATTAATCTTGGACTAGATCAAAATGGTGTTCGGCTGTGGTGGTTGAGTAAAAGCGGAATGAGGATTAATGATCTACTAAATAGGATCAAGCTGATGCTTAAATATGAGGAACCCCCAACTTATCTAGTATTACACATAGGGGGAAATGATTTAGGAGAAATTAAGACAGGAGTGTTACGTAATAGACTGAAACATTATTTGAAGAAAGTTTCAGAACTTTTACTGAATAGCACATTGGTATGGTCACAAATTTTGCCAAGACTCATTTGGCGTTACTCCGCTGATACTGAAGCAATGGATAGATCCAGGCAGAGAATAAACAGCTCGCTAGCAAGTTATATCATTCGCCAAGGGGGACATTACATACGATACCCCGATATATCTCCTAATTCTACATTTATATGTCAAGATGGTGTACATTTGACTGATATTGGTAATTACATTTATCTAAACACAATTCAGGGCGCTTTAGAGGCCTGCCTTGTTTACTCGCCACATACTTTTCCCGAATGTAAATCATGAAATTGTATGATATTCATTTGAATTCAGTTTTTATTAAATATTTATAGCTCATATATCTATATGATTATTGTATTTGGCACACAGCTTTTACGCAGCTCTATCCGCTTTGAATGGCGGTTGACCCGTCAGTCATTTATGACTGCCTTGGTCAATTTGGCACATTTCGCTGCGTTTACTTTAACTATGCGTCATTTTGTCGCATATTTCATTTAGCATCCAAAACATTTGATATTGGGGGTCTCTGTATCCCAGGACCCACCACACAAAAAATTATGAATCTCTGTATCCCAGGATTCATTTTATTTTATTGGATGCTTCATTTATTGTAAATATTTAGTTATCTAGTTAGTTATCTAGTTATCTTTTTGTAGTGTGCCAATATGAAAGGCGACTACGTTCATTTATCTATCTATCTAATTATCTATCTGCTATATATATATATATATATCTTAACTGTTTATCTAGTTATATGGATTTATAATTGTGTAGTTTGTAATAAAGCTGTGGCCAAATACTGCCAAACTGTGTTTCTGATCTTTGCGCATCAATAATAAAATAAATGAAATGATTTTTTAGTAAATGAACATGCTGAATGTATTTATTTTTAGTTTTATATTGTTCTGTATATGTATTTAAGTCATTTTTAAAGAGATTTTTTAGTAGCCTGCCTTAAATGTACACGATAGCCACTTCTCCCTTTAGTTTTTTTTCTAACCAGAAAATAAAATTTAAGAAAGCTATGGACTGACATGGCATAACTGAGATACTGTAAATTCAGAAATTATTGCGTGCATTTATTATTGCGATTTTGTCATTTTAGACTAAAATGCGATTTTAATTTTTGCGATATTGAGAAAAATCCTGTTTAATTCATATAAAAAATTTCAAAATGCGAGTTTAAATTATTGCGATTATAACCCTGTCGCATTTTCCGCAATAATAAAAACATCGCAATAATTTCTGAATTTACAGTACTCTATGCATTTGCATTTATTAAAATCTGCTAAACTGGCTTTGATTTATTATGTGTCTTTCTACATATTATACAGACTCTCGTCTTAAAGCTTTCTCATTACTGAAGCCCAAAGGGTGAACTCCTGTGTCTATTTTTTGGTAAACTTGAATTCATTGTTGTTTTTTGTTATTTACACCACATTTACTTTTTACAAAGAACTACAAGATTTGTGTTTTTAAAATAGGCTACATTAAAAAAAAACAATGTATAAGTTTGTTTGCAATGACATACACGACTGTGATTCGATGTTTTGCTGCTCTCTGAGAGGAACTGCTCTAGTGTTAACATTTCATTGTTATCATTCCTGTTCCCAAAACCTCCATCATCATCTTCATCATCCCCAAGATTGGCTGGACGACCCAATCCTGTAAAGCAAGAAATTTCATTATCTGTAACTTTTCTACACGTTAAATCTAAAACGATCTACAGACACCATTCATCAACAGTAACCGCTTTCCACTTGGGAAATATGAAAGGACCAGTTTCTTTTTCTTTATATTTTAAGAACCATCATACAAGTGGTAGATTTGGTTCCCCAAAGTCTGACTATAAAAATTAAAGAATAAGATAGTTATTTCCAATAGTTTCCTAAGGTATGGTATCTCAGAACATTGCAAAGGCCATCATGACATTTTGAATGATCTTTGCAATAACCATGGTTAGGGTACAATAGAATTGAAGGTATCCCGCAGAAATTTAAATTTTGTTATGTTGATTGACCTTACATTGATAAAAGTTAATACACAAAATCAAAACAGAAGCACTTGAACTGCTTATTATCTGGTATTTTATAAAGGACATGATAGAATAATATAACTTTTTGACAGCCAGATTGATAGACATTGTGGTACAAATATATATATTTATGTATAATGGTATTCTGAATTTGTAATGTTTAAAGACAGTTAAAAATGTCTGATTCAGATTTGTTACTTGAATTCAATGGAGAAACTGTTTGGCAAACAGAATCAAAACATATTAAAATTTCTATAACGACAAGTACTTTCAATATCACACCTCACTTGGGTATGATAGATATTAAGCTTTCCACTCCAGTCTTCAACCACTCAATTGCATTTATTTACACATCACAATTTCACTTAAAAACCATAACAACATTTTGTTAGTTATAGATCCCACCACATTTACAAGTCCTATAAGAAGCATACACACAAACGAGTAAATACATACACATATATACCATCACCAGTTAAAAAAATCATACAAAAATATTTCCTTTCTGGAAAACTTCAACACGTATAACACCACATTAATTCTGGTGCTCTAACAATACCTATACATTGTAGTGCTAAAACGTAATAATTATATAGCAAAACAAATCCTTCTAATGATACTAAATCATAAAACACATTAGATAAAAACAAAACAAACTAAAGTTTACCTGGCAACAAACTAGGAGAGCCAGCTGCAAGAAGGTCTTCTGTAGATTTTGAGCCTAAAGGTAGTGAGTACATGTAATGTTAAAGTGGTGCTCCATTAGGATAGGAGGAAGAAAATTAAAAAAAAAATATATTATCTTCTGGAAGTTTTAATTTTGTTTTCAATTTACAGAATTTACTATTGAATGTTAGTTAGGAAAATAATTTTTCTTTTGATTTTTTTCAATAAGTTAAGAATATAAAACTTCTACATACTATCTACAGAATCTAAAAGAAACTTAAAGTTTTAACATGAAAGGCACAGAACTGAATGAGACAAAACATTAAAAATATAAAATAAAAGTAGCTTTAACAGAAATATAGATATAGCATGGTTATAATAAGCTGCTTAACACATTAGACTTAATAATTTTTACAATACTGAATTTTTTTGTTAGTTTTTATTATTGTAAAAAATTGTGACCTGATAGAATTGAAACAAATCTAAATTCACATTTTAAATTTTGATAGCATTATTTTTTTGCAACATTTCCTCAAATCATTATACATGTAATTTATCGTGCACTTTTTGTCAATTATTCGACAATCAAAATAATAAAATGCATGCTAAAGTTCTGAATTTACAGTATTTATCAGAAGTTTATAAGCAATAGATGAGAGCAAAAGCAGTACTTTGCAAAAAAGAGAAACTTATGTAAAAAAAAAATCAAATAATGTTTCTGTTAGTCATCAAAATTGATATAAGTATATACATTTATAAATGGATAGCTGGCATAAAATTTAAATTATGCAACATGAACACAGAAATTAACAGCAAATCAGGGGAGTTAACTTTGAATTTCTGGTATTGTTAAAATTTCCTAGATTTTCACAAAGAACAGCATATACATTAAGAAAAATAAAGATATAAAATTTCAGATGATAAATGAATGAATTGCTTAGAAAGTAGCAAAGAAATAAGAATATGAATGGAAAAGATTGAAGATGATCAGACAACAAAAGTACAACATGTACCATTACCTCTCAATGAGTTATCATAATCATCACCACCACTACTGAGCATGTGCAATGCAGTTGTTGATTTTGCAAAGGTTTTATGTGTGGCCAAGCTTGGTGTATCTAATAAGTTTTCTGCACTATTACTCCTCTTCCTCAAGTCTACACAAAAATAATGTTCAAATATGTTTTATAGACTTCAAACAGCTTGGTATTATTGAACAAAAGATATGGAGGTACTTGATGCGTGCTTATGAAAAGAAAGGAATTTATTGACGCATGCAGTAATCATGGACGACAGATGTAAAAGAGATGATAGACTGGTACAAAGTAGTAGTAAATGGAAAAAAAGAACAGATTTCATACATTATAATCATAGGTATCAACTCCTAGGGTGATAGAACATATGTTACACAACATGCATCAATACATGTTAAGAAAAGTGATCATGCTAATACAGAAACAACTCATGCACTTGTCAGAAAAATTTCATTTTCAAAGTTTGCAGCAGATAAAATGTAACCTGTGATGGCTAAATGAGGACAATACCAACCACAAACATGTATTGGTAATGATTACATATGGAAGTCGCCTTAACACTCTTTAACATGTAAAATCAAAATTACTTAACTTACAAAAGAGACAGAGTAATGTCCCTTACCTAAGAGTGATATAAAAAGAGCGAAGGAATATAAAATGACAATTTTCAAACCTGAATGGCATTTATAAAAATTTGATTAATAATGTAAAGTTACCGACTCTAAAAAAACTTGTACACATCAATCGTTCTTAGTTACCAGTATACCCAGCTTATGGTGTTTTATTTAGGAAAATGAGACTAAATTTAATCTAAGGTTCGCAATTTGTATCTCTGGCAGACTAGAAGATAAGATTTCGAAAGTACACTCGTGATACTTCTACATAGAGTACATGAATTCCAAATGTGAAAAAAAACCTCTGCTATCTACTTGTGCTACATTAAAGTAAATGTAAACCTGAAACCTTGAAAGAAACAAAAAACTGCAATAAAAATTCCATGTGCTGCCTTAAAACTTTAGTGAAAACATGTGTGTATCCTAGAACCTATCCACACATCATACTTGTACTGTCTGACTCAGTTGAATCTTCTTTCCATGTATGGCCACTACCATGAATTCTCAATTCCTCTATTGCAGGTTTAGATACAGAATTAGTTGAACCACTTTCTTCTGATCCTGAGAATCCTTGGTTAACTGATACATTATCTGAATGTTCCCTCTCTAGTGTCTTTATTTCTTCTTTCAGAGTCGATGTGTTTGCCGATTTAGTAACAAGCTTAGGTGTCGATGTGTATGGACCTCTGGGTACAAGTACAGGTGTCATTCTACCAGGTCTTCCAATATCCACCCTTGGTGTAGTATTTTTAGAACCTTTGGACCCTAATGGACCTCCTAAGGTCAAATCAACCCTTAGTGTTGTATTCCTAGAACCATGGGACTCTAATGGACCTCCTGAGGTTTTATCAAGCCTTGGTGTATTGTTACGAGAACTAGCTGTGTCAATACAGGGTGCACACATATATGGTCCTCTGGGTTCCAGTTTCAGTGTTGTATTAGACTTTGCCACTGTTTCCACATTAAAATATCTGGTTGCATTTAACGATTCTGTTCTTAATTTGTCTTTCTTAAATTGTGGTCCATTCTCCAAATTGAGTGTATCATCAGATATTTCTTAATAGACCAGAAATATTAATGTCATAATTATCAATGTTCTCTAACATACCAAGATTACACCAACCACCAAAATCATTCTAACTTGGTACTCTAAGATTAACCATCTATAGTTCAAGTACATTGAACACTTGGTCACAAAAAATTAATTTTTAAATTCTCATCCCTTTCTGCTTTTTGGCTCCAATATTTTTAATAAAATGCTCTGCAGGGCGCAGCTTGATACGACCGCAGAGGTCAAACCCTGAACAGTTGGGGCAAGTATGGACACAACATTCAAGCTTGATACAGCTCTGAATTTGGATTGTGATTAAATATTTGACACAGCATAGGTTTCTGACACAGAATGACTGTGGTCTAAGAACTTAAAAATTTTAAATTGGACATTCACCTATTATGGTCCAATATCCAAAATCTAAATACATGGCTAGATTCAGCATATCAAAGAACCCCAAGAATTCAATTTTTGTTGAAATCAAACAAAGTTTAATTTTGGACCCTTTTGATCTCAATGTGGACAAAGTTGATAACGGGGCCCAAAAATCAAAAATCTAAATACATGGTTAGATTCAGCATATCAAAGAACCCCATATATTCAATTTTTGTTGAAATCAAACAAAGTTTAATTTTGGACCCCAATTTGGACCAACTTGAAAACTGGGCCCATAATCAAAAATCTAAATACATGTTTAGATTCAGCATATCAAAGAACCCTAAAAATTCAATTTTTGTTAAAATCAAACTAAGTTTAATTTTGGACCCTTTGGACCTTTATGTAGACCAATTTGAAAACAGAACCAAAAATTAAGAATCTATATACACGGTTAGATTCGGCATATCAAAGAACCCCAATAATTCAATTTTTGATGAAATCAAACAAAGTTAAATTTTGGACCCTTTGGACCTCAATGTGGACCAATTTAAAAATCCAAAAACTTAAAACACGGTTAGATTCAGCATATTAAAGAACCCCAAGAATTCAAGAATAAAACCCCATTGAAATTGATCAAGAAATAAGCAATTTATACGAAGTATCTTCTTTTGCACAATACTGTGCAATTGAATATTTCTTGCTATTGCGCAATACTGTACAATTGACAATTTCTTGCTATTGCGCAATATTGTGCTATTGGATATTTCTTGCTATTGCGCAATACTGTGCAATTGAAGATTTCTTGCTATTGCGCAATACTGTGCAATTGAAGATTTCTTGCTATTGTGCAATACTGTGCAATTGAAAATTTCTTGCTATTGCACAATACTTATTATATAATAATTTACACATCCTGTTTGGTGTGTATCTCCTACCATATCATTATTAAATATAAATCAGAAATAACCAACTTAAAATGGAAAATTTTAAAAGAAAAAAAAAAATCCCCCCCCAAATTTTTTGAACCCTCTTATGATTCATCACCCCCAAACTCAATCCCAGCCTTCCCTTTGTGGTATGGTACCTTGCAGTACAATTTCAGAGAGATCCATACACTTGAACACAAGTTATTGTCTGGAAACTAGAAAAATGCTTATTTTTGGCCCCTTTTTGGCCCCCAATTCCTAAACGTTTCGGGCAATTACCCCCAAACTCAATTCCAGCTTTCCCTTTGTGATATGGAACCTTGTAGTACAATTTCAGAAATATCCAAACACTTGCACACAAGTTATTGTCATGAAACTAGAAAAATGCTTGTTTTTTGCCCCTTTTTTCTAAAATTTTGAGGCAATTACCCCCAAAATCAATTACAGCCTTCCCTTTGTGATATGGAACCTTGTGGTACAATGTCAGAGAGATCCATACACTTACACACAAGTTATTGTCTGGAAGTTACAAAAATGCTTATTTTTGGCCCCTTTTTGGCCCCTAATTCCTTAACTGTTGGTACCATAACCCCCAAAATCAATCCCAACCTTCCTTTCGTGGTATTGAACCTTATGGTAAAATTTCATGGAGATCCATTCACTTAAACTAAAGTAAGAGTGCGAAAACCAATGTGTCTTCGGACGACGACAACGACGCCAACGTCATACCAATATACGACCAAAAAAATTTTAATTTTTGCGGTCGTATAAAAACATAATTCATATTTTCAATATTTGTTTTAAATTCCAAACAAATTATAGTGAAAATCAGCAAAAAAAAACACACTACTGTTATCCAATTTTTTTGTTGAAAGGTGAGAATCTAAAAATAACTTTTATGTAGCCATTCCATTACTTATTATGAACCTCATTACCACCTATTATCAAACTAAGACCTAAATTTGTCCCTACTCTTACCCAGGCCTATGTATGTATACACTTCTTCGTCTCTTACTGAATAAATTATAAGGGAGAATCAAAGTTAATTCAGGAATATAAAATTCAGAACTCAAAATGTTTCAAAAAATGTGTTCATGCGATGGTGGTCTTGATGTGGACATGCACATTATTTTCTTTTTTTGATTTTATGGGTTTAAAACATGCTTCACAACATAAGCTGGTGAATATGTTAGTACATTATATTGTAACAAAAATAATATATGTGTGTCAATATTTGTACAAATGCATAGCTGAAAGCAGAAACACTCAGACCCGATACATATTTCATTGAAAGTTTGTATTTATTGAGACTTTTGATTTTAACAAGAGCTATTTTGGACAGTTATTGATACACAAATTTGCTCATACAATACACTGAACCTTGATTAATCTTGAACTTGAAGGATGATCTTAATTTCAATAGCTATTAACTTTTAAGTAGATTTTACTGAAATTACACATCTGACCCAAACAAATAAATACATGGTTGAAGTGTTTCTATTTTCTAATGTAACATCTTTCATTGACTACTGAATTGCTAGTTACTTGTAACAAAAGTAAAATGCAGCATAGCAATGGAGTACAATGTATACAGTGCAATTGCCTGGTTATTCAGATATTACAAGATTTTGAAAAGTGCTATAACATGTAAAGAGCAAAAAGATTTGAATCATGATGATATAGTACTTGCATATATGTTCAAAAAGAAGAATATTTAGCTTACTTATTAACAAGAAATTATTGAAAGGACTTATAAATCTAATATTGATAAAAGTAAGGATCTTTGACATAAAAGGCTATTCATCTATAAAACAAAAATCTCTCAAAAGTGAGGATTTTTATATCTATTGTGACAAAGGCTTAAAAATCAACAGCAAACCTAGGAAAACTGTAAGAAAAGCTCACAAACTCAAATCCTTAATCCCCAATTTGTGTAAATATGACAATCTAAGTTCTCTATGGAAAAAATAATACATGTATGTCTTTTAGTCCTAAAGCTTCACTAAAATCCAGAGACTGCTTGAGAATAAATGAATAGTTACAAGGATCAATATATCTTTGTCCAAACAGAAACATACTATTACTATGACATTCCATGTATCTGCAGAATCATACAGATGTAATATCTTACATATCAACTTTTTTTCTAAATGAATCCCCATTTTAATAAATGAAAAGCTTGCAAAATTCTGAAGCTTTTGTAATACTGATGCATAATAGGAAGCCTCTGTTACTGTGCAAAACTTGTATAAATGAATATGGTTTGGATCAGAAATACATTGACTTCTCTTTTAATTCTGAACGTCTCCATCAAAACTTTTTGTTGTTCTTTGTAGTGAACAAAATCCTTTATTATAAAAGGGTTATCATCAAAATTTAACTGATGACATTTTTCTATTTTACATACAGACCTATATTTCTGACCCAATACCATTATATCCCAGTGGACAATTACTTACCTGATTTTTTAGCAGAGTCACCATTTTCAGTAATTTCATTAGATCCATGCGAGGTATTATCGGCACTCAGATCTGTCAGGTTGTTTCTACTTTTACTTCTTTGGTTCTGTGAGAGAAAATTGTTCCAAGTTTGTATTAAATATGTAAACACCATTTGAACATTATAACAACTAATGAACGTTACAATAAATAAAGACTTATGGCACATGTGAATTTAATTTTTCTTAAGTATGAAAAATCTGTTAATTTCATTACATTTCTTCTCCCAAAATACTATTAAAATATAATCAAATACCTTTGACACAAATATCTTTGCAGCTTTCCTTGCAATTCTGGCTCCCAAACCTTTATTCCTGTAAAAGTAATACAAAGTATACAAACTTGTAAGCACAATAACGAATATCGAAATCTGGTATTTTTCTCTGCATTCCAGACTAATTGACTGGTCCATAATCTGAATTATTATTTTATCACTTTCAACAACACTTATGTATAAATATGAATAAATATGTGAAGTGTTTTGATTTTCTATCCTGCAGTATCCTCATTGTGTTAAATTTTTAAAAACTGTTTGTTAATAAAGTTTGTTATTATCGCCACAATGCATTTCTTATAATCCTGATATTGAAATAAATCCCCAGCAAAAACTCTTCAATCATAAAACTTATATTCTTATTAGCTCACTTTGTAGAGGTCTTTAATAATATTTTGTCTAAAAGTCAAATAGTCTTCTATTCTACAATTTAGGAACTTCTGAATTCTGAAGGCTCAAATAAAATACAGTAATTTCTATAATCATCATGAATACTAAATACATTCCGGTTTGCTGTCTTATTAAAAATTACATGTGAAATCTCTTTTGCTCACATAAACTATCTCATTCAAAGTATAGGAAATTCCAATGAAATGAACTCAAATAAAATTCAAAGGTCAAAGTTCACATTCACTGAAAATAGTTTAAAGAAATAATGGAACAAAGCTAAACAGATATCATGGTGAGCATAAAGGTTGGGTGCCCGCAGACATGTTTAACCCTGTCACAATCTGTATGTGCCTGTCCCAAGTCAGGAGCCTGTAATTCAGTGGTTTTTGTTTGTTGCTGTATATCATATTTGTTTTTCGTTTATTGTTTTGTACATAAATCAGGCCCTTAGTCTTTTTGTTTGAACTCTTTTTATATTCGTCATTTTGAACCTTTTATAGCTTGCTATGCCAGATGTGTTTTGCTCATTGTTGCAGTGGTACGGTGACCTATAGTTGCTAACTTCTACACCATTGTATCTCTAGTGGGGAGTTGTCTCATGGGAAAACATACCAAATCTTCTTATTTTTATATAACAATTATTACACTCTACAGCTGTTAGATCTAATCAATTGAACAATTTTTTTTTCTAAAAACACAAGTAAATTAACATACTTTTTCTGTGTTTCTTGTCTCTTGTATGCTTCCATTATTTTCTCTTCTAATCTTTCTTTCTGTCTTCTCAGATCACTAAGTCTTTCCCTAAAATAAAATCATCAAAGTTTGAAAATAATATCTCTCTTGATTATACTAAGAGGAATCTTTTCATTTTTTTATGAATCATAGAATTCTTGAAAGATTTCACTGTTTTCCAAGTATGTTGGACAATGTTAGATTTGCAACTTATTAACTCATCTAAACATATTTTTTTTTAAATTGCCAAACACATTTATACTAACTGATGTACAATTCAACCAATGACTAAAACACTACAATTCCTTTAAGTAATAGAATATCAACAAATACAATCAGCATAACTTTGCATAGAATTTTTTGGTATTTGCTGAATTTTCAATACAAACTAGTTCACTTACAAGTAAGACTTCTGTTCCTCAGCAATGGTGTCTTTACTGTTCAATATTTGTGTCAATAATTCAGAGTTTGTATTAAGCAATGCCTGAACCTGCATCAACAAGTTTTTATTATCATCTTCCATTTTCTGGTTTGCTTGGTACAACGACTGCAAATAAATAGTATAAAAATTAATAATTTAGAAGACTAAATACATTTTTGTTTTGCATAATTCATAATCTTTTCCACTAAAAGAAAACAATATTTTTTCTGATACTTAAACATAAACATCTGAATCTTCAAAGTGTCTTTGAGGTATCTGAATCAAACAGTGAAAAGAAATGTAAATTTATCAGGAAACTCCACGTGAAGAAATAAAATATGACTTTTAACGATTGAACACAGAAATAACTAAACATAAAAAAAACAGTGATTTTAATGAGTGCAAAGACAATTTACATCTAAGCACTAACACAGCAATTTTAGCAACCTTAATTATTAAATTAAGATTCTGTTGAAATAAAATACATTTTCTCCCCTACAATGACACATTGTAGTTATTTTATATTCACACTACATTTTAAATTGTACCTTTCACAAATTTAATCAATCTTTTAAGATTCATTTTTATATAACTTAGCAGTATAAAGGGAGAAAACTCAGACAATGAAACTTTTATAAAGGAATCTAAAGTAAAGTTTCTTTTTTTGTTTGTAGCAAGAAAATAAATCCTGTGACCCCAATTTATATTTATAGTTTCTAAAAGCACATGAAAAGAGCTATCTTTTTATATTTTATAATAAAATTCTATCATTTTGGTTTCTTTCTATCTCACAAAATTATTTTTCCATGCATAATCTATACAAAATCTGTCAAATTTTCAAAAGCTATAGCTTTTATATAAAAAAAGCTTAGTGACAGATAATTTTTATTTTGTTTTTGAAAAAAGCAGGATATAAACTACATTTGGACGAATCATTGAAAAATTCTATTATTTTAGATGCCCTCTCCCTCACCTACCTTAATTCAAATAACAGAAATAATGACTTACATCATACTTATTACCCAGATTACTGAGTTCTAATTCCATCTCATGTAACTGATTCTTATAATCATCACATGTCCCACGTAAACTGTTATAGTCTGTTTTTAATTGTTTATGTTCCTTAGATAAATCTAAATAGTCTTTTCTTATTTTTTCATGTTGATTATACACAATGTCATGTTTTTCTCTCATATGATTATATTCCATTTTTAAACTTTCAAATGACTGTAAATCAGCATTAATTTTTTCCTTCTCCTGTACAGACATTCCGTATGAATTGCCATTTCTTTCCTGCAATCGTATTGTCAATTCACGATTTTCATTTTTCAACGATTTGTGTAAAGATTTCAGTGAACCATGTTGTGATATCAAGGCTTCATGTTCACTAGACAATTGTTCATGTAATCTCTGCAGGTCTTCATGATCACCGACAAGCTGTTCGTGTGTCGTCTGCAGCTCTTCGTGTGTTTGTATCAAATGTTGGTGTTCTGACTCCACACGATTTAATTGGTTCTGAAGAAGCTGACACTGACCCTGAAGCGAGGAACACTGAGCTTGTAAAGTAGAATATTCTACTTGTAATTTGGCAATTTGGGACTGAAATGACGAATTTTGTTCCTGGAGTGAGACTGTTTGTGACTGTAACTGACAATTATGTCTGTCAAGTTTCTGAATCTGTTGATTCAATGAATCTGTATGTGACTTCATGTTTTTATTTTCTGTCATTAGTGTGGCATTCTAAAACATGAAATGCATAAATCTTTTATTTGAATTCATATTAGTACAATATTGTTGTGTAAATACAATTTGTACCATTAAATAATTTTGATCTTGTTTAAAAATTTTTGTTATTCTGCAAAATAAAATAATCAATCTCCTTGTGTATTTAACTGAAAGAAAAAGTAAAACTTCTGTTGTTACTTTAAAAAAATTTTTTTAATTTCTGTTTCAGAAACTAAAGTGTAAATTTATAACAAATGCAATCTAAGGAAATCATTATTAAATTTAATAGAACATTCAAGTAAATAGAAGTCTGTGCATATTCATTTATTTTACTTTCAATTCTCCATAAAAATTTCCCTTTCATTTTCCATGAAAAGATATTGATTGCAAAAATCGAAATTGAATTAATTTTCCATTTTGAATAATATAGCACATTTCAATCATATTCCCAGTGACTTCCTGTAAAAAAAAATTATGGAGGATACTGTATCATGCATAGGTTGCAAATTGCAGAATTAGGAGGGAAGAAATGTTTACAAGTCAGTTAAAAACTTGATACAATGTATTGGTTTTTGGACAATGCCTGTACCAAGTCAGGAATGTGACAGTTGTTTTCCAGTCGTTCCATTGGTTAATATAGTCAAGCTTTTGGTTTAGCTATAGACTTCTCCTTTTGAATTTACCATGGAGTTCATTTTTTTATTGCATTCAGCAGGGTGAGACAAAAATACCAACCGTTCTTTCTAAATTTACTAAATGATCTTTAAGGTCTAATATGTCCTTGGTTGGATTATTTTGTGATATATGTGTATTCCTCAGTGCACCTAATGGTCCATGGTATGTTACTTTGGTGCCGTGCCTGGATAAAGAGAAAGACACACATATAATACCTTGAAATAATGCATAAATTTGCAGACTATGTGATATGAATTTAAATAATCAGTTATTTATATCACTGACATATTACAAATCTGTAATAGGATAAAAATGCTCTTTATGATACTGGATGACTATCCATGCCTTCCATGTCAAATCTCATAAAAGGACACTTATTTTAAAAATGACTTACTAATGCTGCATTAACTTTCACTACATCCTTATTTATGAATTTTTGTTTGGTATAGCATATTCATACAGGGTTTGAATAAATGTTGGAATAATCAGTTTTCAAACTGACAAAGTAGGTAGTTGCTTGCCTGTTTACAGTATCAATTAATTTGTTTATGTAAAATACCAGTTGAAAACCTGCTGCCTTTGCTTACAACTGTTCATGGTATTAATTTTTGCAGTATGAATATCATATGTTACTTTATTATCAATGAAGTTTTAGCAGAATACTAAGTCAGGAGTGGAAATTTAAAGTGCCACAAAATGTTATAGTATTTACCTCTCACTCCCCACCGATTCCTCCTCATATCTTTGTTTCAAGGATTCACACTCTCTCTTCAGAATTCTCAGTTCTTCCTGTAGTCTGACATTCCTGTTCTTTGATTCATCCAGCCTAAATGAAAAGTAAAAGTAAGTGCCATTAAAATTTGATTTTGGTCCTGTATATATAATTTTTATATCAAATTAAAATGAAATTAATTACCAATGTATTTTGTGATGTTTTTTGTCTTGGTTTAACAGTAAGATGAACAAAATATGTAAATTAAATGTTATTAAGCAAATTTTTGTAGATTTGAAGTTATAATTTTATTGATTGATTAGTTGATTGTTGGTGTTTAACCCCACTATCAGCACTATTGGCTATATTGTGGCCGTCAGCTTTTATTAGTAGAGGAAGCTGGAAAGAACCACCACAATTTGGCAGAAAACCTAACAATCCTAGTCAAATAAGTTCTAGTTGAATGCACCTCCACATTGGTTCAAACTCACAACCTCAGTGTTGACAGGCTAGTCATACAGTAGATGTACTACTTAAGACCACTTGGCTACTGAGGTCCCATTATTTTATCGAGATACCCCATTACCGATCTATTTAGCCACAATAATGAAAATCATTACTATTTTAGTAAAAGATGCTTTAGATAATTTTCTCTGTCAATTTTGCTTTCTTGGTTCGTATATTCAATTTAGTTTACTTATAAAAACATGGGTAAACTACAGTTGCCTTTAATATCTTGATTCTAAATTTGCCTGCCTCATAAGCGAAATCCTAAACATTCACAATAGGTATAATTACAAGATTCATAATAAAAACTTTTCTGCAACCTTAAAAAAATGTCATGATCTAGTGGAGTTAGGTACACATGTCAAAGGTAATAAGTTTCAATTTCTCAGGGTGTTCATGTGTAAAGGGAGCTAGGATCTCATTCTTTCAAACGTGTTCCTCAACTCTGGCTGCCTCAGACAGTATATGAGTTCATATTAATACATCTAAACTGATGCCCCCCTCAGCAAAATTTATTATAAGCATTATTTTAAGTGCAGAGAGCCTGGCTTTCTACAATATATGTCTTAGAGTTAATGTCTTAAACAGAATATCAAAACAAATTTTACCATATCAAAACATGTTGACCAAAAGATATTTTCACAATAGTTTACAGCTGTGCAACTAATTCTACATTTTATGCCAGTTTAAGGGCTTAATATATATACCTATTCTCCTGTAAATTTATTTAATCTCCTTTGCACTCATAACTAACACTATATGAATGCAAATCAACCTTAATCAATGACGGTAGAAAAAAGTCAACAAATTACTAGGCTTATAAATCAGTTTTGCCAGATGAGTGTTTTATCTCCATAAGACTCGCCAATAAAAACATTTCAAAGGGCAAAGTTGGAAAGCATTGAAAAATAAAAATTCAAAAAAAAATCATGCCACTGAAACATGGCTCAGGCCATCTATGTCTGGGTTGGTAGAAAAACCTTGGGATTTTAAACATTTTAACAATTTACAGAAAATGACTGCATCTATGTAGACTAAATATTTTTCACGACTGCAATTTGATAAAAATGTTCCAATTTGGAATTCCAAATTTAAAAGGGCTTCAGACTAATCAGTATTACATATAATCATGTACTTCTAATGTTCATACTGGTATTGCTAAATAATGACTTTTAATAGCTTTTAAATTTATAATAATGTATCTACAATGATGATTTATGCAACTTAATCAATTTAATGTAGAAAATAATTTCGAGGCCACAAATGTTATTACGTAATTTCATAATTTTATTATTGAAAAAGTTTTGATTTTCCCAGGAAGACTATTCAAAATCTGCAAATTCATCGATCCAGACAACATTAAATAAAATATTTATCTTGGTAAAAAAACCCACTGTTTCATTTCTCATATCCATTTTTCATTCTAATAAACTTACAACAAAGCATAAAATTTGTCAAAGAAATTTGACACTACATGTCAAGCGAAAGATACATTTAACGAAAAAGTATGTAAACCTAATGATTCTGTCCAGTAAACTTTATTATCGATTAAACATCAAATAGGAGGGATTGATTTCTCTTGTGTTTGTGATGTGAAATAGACCAAGAAATAAAAAGGACCACATATGTTGCTATTTAATTCTTATCAATAGATTATTGTAATAAATTGGGTATCAAGGTGACAAATGTCATGAATTATTTCCTGTCGACACAAAAACCTCAAGGATTGGCAGTACAGTTATTACCTGGATATCCGTTGACTTCTGAGGACAAGATCTTAAAATAACTGTGTTTACCATACAAAGTAAACTTCCCTTATTTGCATAACTACACCCAATCAACATTAAATTAACCCCATCAAAATATAGTTTGGGTTGTTTTCATAAGGTTTAAATGTAAAACTTCTTCAGGTTTTTTATCGTAAATGTTCTCTGTATAGCACTACATTTAAAAAGGAAAAGTAGATATTTGAGACCAAATAAGGAAATAAATTTTACGTTGCTAGTATCAGAGAAAGAGACTTAAGAAAAGCTGCATTCACCAAATTTAACATAAATGCATTTACGGTTGTCATGCATAAATGTAATACAAATTTTTCGTAATTATGAAACATTAAATAAATTGAAGGTTTGCAAATTTCTCATTTAAAAGAAACAAAGGTAGAATGAAAATATAGGGATATTGAATAATATCTAGAATTTTCTCTATCACCACAACAATGACACATCTGCAGAAATTCTACATTATAAACATACATTGATTTGCCAAAAGAAGATAAGCAAGGTGGGTCCACCATGCATTAATTTAAACCATCATTAAAACAATTTTATGGAAGACACTGCATATATGCTAATTCTGTTCTGTATAGAAAGTTGTATTATATTTTTTTGTTCTGGCATTGTCAAGAAAATCAAAGTCTTTTAAATATACTTGTTAAAAAAGTTGTGCAGAAAGTTGAAATCTGTTTTTGTAAAATCTATGTCTATTTATATATATGTGTTCCAAATTTTTTCAAGAAAGTCAAACTCTTGTTTCAAGGTTAGTCTAAGAAAGGCTGCTTAGGCAACAACTAGTTCTTTATGCTACAGATTCATTAAATTGGAATCAAAATTAGCAATAAAGCTTGCACTTATTAGGCATTAGTTTCTCCTGATAAAAATAGTGAACAGTATTCATACAATCTAAGTTTCATGTGATAAGGTTTATGCTTTTTTATAAACCTTTTTTTTAATTTCAAGGCTGCTAGTATATGTGGAAGAGTCACAGTCATGAGTTATTTATTGATTTGGGCTTTAGCACCCTTTTCCCATATCAATAGATCCAGCCCAATTTGTCCTTTTTGGAAATAACATCTAGATTCAAATAGTGTGAAGTGACCAAAATGAATGCAGGTAGATGTCTCAAACTATGAGATTATGATGCACCAAAGACAATCAAAGAGTCATATAAATGTTTACCATTAAGCAATTGTCAAGTCTTTCTATTAATGAGGTATGACAATGCTTCAAATTATTCACATGCAAATGAGCAAAGGTAAGAAGTAAAAGCCAGAAAGTGCCTACCTGCTCTGTAAAGACAAAATCTTGTCCTCTTTGATTTCCATGTTTTTCACTAATGCTTCTTCCATCATGTTCTCTAAGGCTTTGTACCGACTGAAAAATAAATAAAACAATTACAACAGAAATTACGAAAGTATTTAAACATCAAAGTAAAGAACCAAGCTGTCTAACTTGTAAGCTCTCTCCAGATTTCGTACAAAAAAAAAAGGAAAATCAGCACAAAACCATATATCAAAATGTTGGTTTATTAGACCAATAGTTTCTTCATGAAGATATACAATATCAACACAAAGAAAAATGCATACTATTTATATGCATATGTTACATATTAAATCCATTTTTGGATATATATTGATGAAAAAGATGAAAAAAAAAAATTATTTCTTTAAAATCTTAAAATTGATGCTAATCATAAGAAACTAATGCTTTTTGGTATTTAATAATATATGCATATATATTAAAAAAGATATGACGGAGAAACTGACTTCAATCGAGTAAAGTTAAAGCCAATAATTTTAATTCCTCCAGTCATAAAACGCTATTTACATATCAATAAGAGAAAAGGGATGTGGGGCATATTGTTGGGTTCAAGTCAATAAGACAGCAAACCAACAGCACAAAAAAAATCCATAAATATCATGAATGTACATGTATTCTTTTATGAAACTTTGTGATCAGACTTTTTGCATCTTTTTCAAAATTTCTGACGTAAACTAAAAAATTCAGCTTGCTAGTTTGTGTTTAATTCATATCCCATCAATGTTGTAGAATTGAATATGAAATATTTAACTATTTAATCAACCTATTGACTTACACAATGACAATTTCTTTAAGCATTTCAAAATCAACATCTTCAGGATTAGGTAAAGACCATTCATTATTTGATTTTTCATCTGACTTTTCAGATTTGACAGATTTATTTGAACTGATACTAGATACATTGTCAGCTTCCAGCTCATTGTTGTCCTCATCTATGCTTGAATAATTATAATCATATTCTTTTAAGTCTAATAAATCTAGGTCATTACAATTTGAGGAATTAGGAATTTCTCTATTTTCAAAATTATTTGATATATTGCATCCTGAATTCCTTAATGCTTGACTTTGTTCTGTTTTTAGATCTTCAGACTGCCTACTTCCTGGATTTTCAGTAATGTGAGTATTATCTGTTTCCTTGTTTGCAAAGTTATTACTGGTACCCAGACTTCCTGCTTCTATCAGTAAAGGTTCCTCTGAAGTGTTTGGATCTGACCTCTCTGTATCTAAGGACTGATTGATTGATACATAAAAACAACATTGTTCATCATCAGTTTTATGAGTTTCCAATTTTTTCACGTTGATCAATTCATTTTTATTTCCATTATTATCCATAATCCCATCATGGTTTCTATGGATACCATCTTCAAATGACACATTATCATCACAATCTTCTTCAGGACTCTCAAACAAAGTCAACTCTTCTAAATCAGAATCAAAAGGATAAGAAACAGCATTATCTTGATTAAGTGAATTTGTAAATGTTTCCCTCCTACTTCTTGCTTCTGGGTCACTATAAGAACAGTACTGAAGATTCCTGTAACCATCTGTTAGATTATGACCATTAAATTCCATACTGTTTCTATGATAGTGTACATCATGGTCACTAGAAGTACTCATTTGGGAACAATATCTAGAGTTAATATAATCAGCAGCATAGTTTATATTAGTTCTTCTATAGTCAACATCACAGTCACTAGCAGTACTTGTCCTAGAACAAAATTCAGCTTTGCCATGATTGACAGCACGGTCATGAGAGTTTCTTCTATTTCTTCTGTAGTCCACATCACAGTCACTCATCTGAGAATAGTTTCCCGAGTTCCTGTAATCAGTAGACCCATTCTGATATGTAATATAACCTACATTACCTGGACTAAGGTCTACATCGTTTCTACCACAGTCCACATCTTCTTCAATTGAAGTGCTTGTCTGAGTGCAATACTTCTGTTTTTGATTTTGTGCTGTATTTTTTCGTATCACACTATAGTTTCTACTCTCTTCAGACAAGTCGAGACTTTTTGAATTTCTATTAAAGATGGTGCTGCTGTCTAAGGAATACCTCTTTTTGAAAACATTTTGATTTTCATCCTGTTTATACCGTTTAAATGGGACATTAGCACACCAAGTTTCAGTATCAGAACAGTAATTATCCACTCCATTCATCGTATTTTTACTACCGTCTACCCTTTGGCTACACCAGGGGTACTTATGTATAGAATTCCTTATTCCATTACCACTGTAATCTGAACTATTTCGAGTAGAGATAATTTGTGATTTTTTTCCACTTATGCTATCATATTCACCCTTCACCTGGGCTGGTATCTGATAAGTCTGCACATCATGTGCATTTCCATTTGGAAGTCCTTCAGGGTTATCAGCCCTATTTATCTCCAAACCGGTATCATCTACCATGCCATACTTTGATAAAATTTGGTCTAATTCACTCTCTAAGTTAAAGCTTTGTCTTTGCCTTCCAAGTTTCTTATCAAACATTTCTGGAGTGTGACTAGCAATATTATTTGATGCAGCAACACTGTGTCTATAACCACTATATCTTATATCCATTTTAACTAAATTTGCTCATCTAATGTTACAAATGTCTACTACCTTTTCTTTAAAATTTCCAAGTCAAACACTTTCAATCCAGTTCATTTAATTCATTAACTGTCAAAAGGATTTAAATTTGAGAAAAAAACATCATATAGTCCTTTAATCACTTTGTAAAAATCTACGCAAAAAGTGACCAGTTTCTGACAACCAGATGTCCTTCTATTTTAAATTCTGGAATAAATTTCTAAAGTACTTATTTAAATTCCCAAATCAAACATTTAATTCCAATCCATTTGGTATTCATTAGTTATCACTATGCTGTAACAACTAAATGAAGCTGTATTCAATGCTAATCCTTTCACAAAACCTAACCATACAATTCTAAAGTGGTAATAAAAGTTCTGTAATAATCATAGAACCATGTCCTATTATTTTATTGATTTTTTCCAGGGAAACTCTCTGTCCAGAATAATTTTCCAACCGATAATTAGGTCCATTAAGTATCCAATTTCATATATAAACATTAAATGAAAATATCTTTCTACATGTATGTCACTTCATTCCTTTTTCAAGATAGATCAATGAATTGTAGGACCATACAGTTTCTTAACACATAAAACTTGGGTCAATAAATCATAAACCACGACATATCTCATTACACTGTATAAGGAATAGTTTTTCTAACGGAAACATTTCTGTGTTATTCCACGTGCTTTTTATTTAAATAAGCATAACATATTATAAATTAACATCCTGTCCATAAGTAGCGTGGGTGATACTCCCAGCTGTTCAACTATCATAACCTTATACAAATCAATATCTCCAAAACTAAACTTTGGAGCAAACTTTTAAAAATCAATTGAATTTCATTCAAACTTTTTTCTGAACTCAGCAGAAAATATTACATAAATTTTAATCAATTCTCTGACGGTATGGCTTTATAAAGTCTTTACGCAACTTTAGATTTTTTATATTGAATTTCAATGGAATAATGTTTAATATGTATGTAAAGTTAACAAAAAGTTTTCCTAAGACTTCTAGAAGACAAAACATTAAAGCATTAAAATGTTGCCACCCCTGTTGACAAACTTGATGGGAAAAATAAATAAAGCACATAATTAAATATTTAACAATATATAAACTTCAATTACAAACAAATGAATTTTATCTATGTTATTTAATAACGTGTATCGGTGCATAATAACTGTTTTTATCCTTTAAAACATTTTACATTTAAGAATGAATCAGATCTCCCTGAGAAAATTTAATACTATAAAATACCTGAATTATTTGTAATGTATCATTATAAATGTTGCAAAATGAATGGTGATGTACTCAAATTTATCACCTCTAATATAAAGTATGTTTGCAATAGTTTAAATGCACAATGGACGAAGATCTAACAGACAATTTAAATTCTGAGATTTTTTTCAGACAATATTTTCAATTATTTCTTATGTAAAAAGGGGGATGTGAATTTAGAGGTCACTGTATAGATGATAATGGAGAAATCAATTTTATTTTATCTATTTTTGCAAGGATTTTACTTTTAAAAGGTAGAAATTGGGTTAAGCAAATAACTTGAAATATTAATTTTTTTTAACAAAATGGTGTAAAAATAAACACATAGAAAATTAAAATCTTTTTTGTGCACTCATTGTGAGAAAGATTTATATTTTTCAAACCATTTAAAACTTAAAAATTTTAAATGAAGCACAGCTATATATTTTTATCTTAAATGATTGTGGAAAAGGAGAAATAAATATAGCGTCATTTTAAGTCAAAACATGTATATAAATGTATCATGAGCCCTTTTGCAAATACATTATCCACACAGAAGTTCATATATTAATGACGTAAAATAAAATGTACACCACAGAAGATATGTTAAGCTCACATCTATCTTACTCTGACGTTTAGGGTTGTAACAAAATATCAAAATGTTGCAAATCAGGGTATGCTTAAATTTCCATTCCATCTAGTGCAAATTTGGACCACATGTTAAAGTGCACTTACATAGGTAACAGTAGTGTCAGGGGTCTATTTTAACAATAACAAGCATATTCCCCCTCTTAATACATTAGTTAATATATCAGAAGTAGAGGTAAATCCCTTCAACATTTTCTTAAAAGATGATAGTAAAATACAGTCTGCATCAAAATCTTAAGTTAACATAACCTTTGAAGGACAAATTAGCAAATTTTTAGTCAATTAGTCATTGTCATTACAGGTACCTCTACTTTTAATTCTAGTAAAAGTGAAAACCCCAAAACTTCAAATGTAAGATGTTATAGACCAGTTTGCTTAAAATTTTAAAAGCTGTTACGCAGATTGAATCATTTTTTACAGATGACACATAAATGTCAGATGGCAGTAGAAGTCAAGCTTAGTGACAATGTTCCAATATGTCAGATAAATTATATAACTATATATACAAAGTATTTTTATACAACTTTTTATGAAATCTCAACTAAAGACAAAAATAAATATGCCTCCAGACAACGTACTAGTTCATTCAAATGGCAATATTTTCTTTTTAATTTTAAATGATTTTGTTTTTTTTAAATCTGCATGATACTATTTTTAACCCAAACTGACTATTCAGTATATTTTTTTTACTGAAACTGCACTGGTGAAATAATGTTTGTTCATCCCCAGCATTGCATGCAAATACCTTTTTCAAAATCTCATTTCTAAAATTGTATTTGATGAAAAGTCTGAGATCTCAAGGTCATGATATCTTATGTTATATCATGTGTGCATCTTTTTATTATTATAGTTTCTCACACACTTCATGCAAAAAAAAGTTTCATTCCTTACTCTCCTAAATGAACTTTCTCTTTCATACTGTTCCTTTTTCTTTGAAAGAGAAAGTAGTAAAATTATGGAACTTCTCATAAAATTACTCAAATCCTGATTTCTACCTTTCAATCAACTAAAAACCCCATAACTTGGAAACTTAAAATCTACAATTTATAAAAACAAGAGAGCTCACGTCAATAGATATAAACAATTCACCAAAGTTTCATGCAAATTGATTGAGGCGTTTTTGTATTATTGTCTGACATGTTGACGACGGATGGACAGATAACGGTATACCATAATACATCCGGTAAACGGGCGTATAAAAAAAATCCTGATTTTTCGCAGGCTCACGTATACCTTGACCACAGGATATATATCCCTATACAAGAGATTACCCATATTAGCTTCCTACTTAAACCTCAGTAGGAACCCTAAATAAAGAAGCCAGATCTAGGATGCAAAACTAAGTACAAAGAGAAGAAACAATATAAGTTTCCTTAAAATCTGTTGTCTCTTTGAGGAGTTGTGGATTGAAAGGGACATAACTCAAGAACAGTAAAAGTGACGCCACCCAAATTCAAATTTGATCGGAGTTTTGTGGTAAAAAGCAATGTGCTCAAGTTTCATAACATTTGGTTGAAGCAAACTTGTTAGTGAAACGAAAAATTCAGCAATTTTTCCATTTGTAAAAGTCATAACTCTAGAACGGTGAAAGTGACGCCACCCAAATTCCAACTTGATCTGTGTTTCGTGGTAATAAGCATTGTGTATAAGTTTCATAACATTTGGTTGAGGCAAACTAAAGTTAGAGAACAGAAACCAATTTAGGGATGTATGTACATACAGTTTACAAAGGGACATAACTCAAGAACGGTGAAATTGATGCCATCCAAATTCACACTTGATCTGTGTTTGGTAGTAATAATCATTGTGTATAAGTTTCATATCATTTGGTTGAGGCAAACTAAAGTTAGAGAACAGAAACTAATTTTAAAACATACGGATTGCATAACTAGTGTTTATCCTGAATGTGTTCTATCATCCCCCTTAATATACGATATACAATATAACTTACTTGTCATCTTGTGAGTGTTCAGCCATCACTAACTTTTCCTTGTTGATACCAACTCTTTCTAACTCCCCATTCAACTTTTCTAGTTCATTGCTCAACTGCTGACTTTTAATCTTTTCATTAACCAATTCCTAAAACAAAACAAAAGTATACATCATATCATATAATAACAAGACCAATACCATGTCTGGACCTGTGTCACTGCATGCAATCGATTGAGGTAACATGTATACAATATAATACTGAAGCATAACTGATCATTCCCTAAAATCATTAGACTCTAAAGCCAAGAAAACATTGGTGACCTTGTATGAGTGTTGCAAAATTTCAGACTATTAGCTGCTTTGCAGATGCTAAAATTGCTTACTAACTAAAACTCAGCTTATCAAGCTGCAGACCAAATATAAATCATTCCAATCTGATTAAAATACCGATTCTGTGTTCAAAGATCTGACAACACTCCATTTCACTTTCTGTTCTGGTAATGATTACATTTTTGAAGGTGTTTATTATTTCGAAAGGTCTTTAAAACAGAGAGTAGAGTGGATTCTTGTAATAGAAGCCAAGAAAAGTTTGAATTAAATTTTCATTATTCAATGAGTGTTGTAAAATTTCAAATTATCTGCAAACAGGAAGTGGTTGCATGGCAGATGTAAAATTGCTTACACTCTACAACTGAACACTTTCAAGCTACAGATCAAATATAAAATTATTCCCTTCCAAAGAGGTCATAAAATTTTCCTTGTTCTGTAAGTAGTGTTGTAAAAATTCAAGTCATGAGAATAGCCCTCACTAGCACTTTAGAACAGGTGAGTGAAAAAGGATGAAAAAAAAAATACCAGAACTAACTTCCTCTGTACAAAACAATTTTGAAAAAGATGAAGGGTCCTCTTCATCTCATAGTATGTCTAAATATTATAATTGGATGGAAAGAAATATTAAAATTAATAAAAGGCTTCGCTGGGGCACAGCTTGATACGACCGCAGAGGTCGAACCCTGAACAGTTGGGGCAAGTATGGACACAACATTCAAGCTTGATACAGCTCTGAATTTGGATTGTTATTAAATATTTGACACAGCATAGGTTTCTGACACAGAAAGAATGTGGTCTAAGAACTTGAATTTTTTTAATTTACCTATTATGGTCCAATGTCCAAAATCAAAATACATGGTTAGATTCAGCATATCAAAGAACCCAATATATTCAATTTTTGTTAAAATCAAACAAAGTTTAATTTTGGACCCCAACTTGGTCAAACTTGAAAACTGGGCCCATAATCAAAAATCTAAACACATGTTTAGATTCAGCCTATCAAAGAACCCCAAGAATTCAATTTTTGCTAAAATCAAACTAAGTTTAATTTTGGACCCTTTGGACCTTAATGTAGACCAATTTAAAAAACGGGACTTAAAATTAAAAATCTAAATACACGGTTAGATTTGGAATATCAAAGAACCCCAATAATTCAATTTTTGATGAAATCAAACAAAGTTTAATTTTGGACCCTTTTGACCTCAATATGAACCAATTTGATAGCGGGGCACACAAATAAAAAATCTAAATTCATGGTTAGATTCAGCATATCAAAGAACCCCATATATTCAATTTTTGTTGAAATCAAAAAAAGTTTAATTTTGGACCCCAACTTGGACCAACTTGAAAACTGGGCCCATAATCAAAAATCTAAACACATGTTTAGATTCAGCATATCAAAGAACCCCAAGAATTCAATTATGTTAAAATCAAACTAAGTTTAATTTTGGACCCTTTGGACCTCAATGAAGACCAATTTAAAAAACGGGACCCAAATTAAAAATCTAAAAACACGGTTAGATTTGGCATATCAAAGAACCCCAATAATTAAATTTTTAATGAAATCAAACAAAGTTTAATTTTGGACCCTTTTGACCTTAATATGAACCAATTTGATAACGGGGTCCACAAATAAAAAATCTAAATACATGGTTAGATTCAGCATATCAAAGAACCCCATATATTCAATTTTTGTTGAAATCAAACAAAGTTTAATTTTGGACCCCAATTTGGACCACCTTGAAAACTGGGCCAAAAATCAAAAATCTAAATACATGTTTAGATTCAGCATATCAAAGAACCTCATATATTCAATTTTTGCTAAAATCAAACAAAGTTTAATTTTGGACCCTTTGGACCTTAATGTAGACCAATTTGAAAACTGGACCCAAAATTAAAAATCTAAATACACTGTTAGATTCGGCATAACAAATAAATAAATATGATCAAAGATTTTACAAATCTAATGCGCCATACTGTGCAATTAAAGATTACTTCTTAAAATTTTTCAATATTTGAAATTTGAAAAAAAAATAATATTTGAAGAATAATTCTTTTTAATTTCTGAAATCTGAAATGAGAAAAAATTGACCTCCCACAATTTCTTTTTATCCCCCCCCCCCTTTTTTCCCCAAAAAAATTCTTTCCCTCAAGATATGGTCATAATCTCAATTCAAATTTCCAATGGAGTTGGCAACCATAATTACCTATTTAAATTTACCATAGTGCTAGCTTAATCTTTTTTATAATAGAATTAAAAATATAGTGTCAAATCTTTCATATGGATTTTTTTGTAAAAAAAAAAGATGCAACATTTGCAGATATTTTTACTGGTCTTCCTTTATAAATATGCATTTCTTTAAACATAATTTAAAAGCAGTGTAAGGGAAGTAACCAAAACGTTGTATTTGGATTACCTCCCTTACACTGTTTTAAATTATCTTTATTGTTCATTAACCATTACTTTATACATAATTTAAAAGCAGTGTAAGGGAGATAATTTCAATGATGTATTTGATTTATCTCCCTTACACTGCTTTAAATTATGTTTTGTACTAAAGTATTTGTCCATTAACCAGGACAACCTTGTTTTTCCCCCTTTTTTGCCCCTAATTCCTAAACGGTTTGAGCCATAACCCCCCAAAGCAAATCCTAACCATCCCTTTGTGGTATGGAAACTTGTAGTATAATTTCAGAGAGATCCATACACCCTTCCACAGTTATTGTCTGGAAACTAGAAAATGCTTATTTTTGGCCCCTTTTTGGCCCCTAATTCCTTAACTGTTGGTACCATAACCCCCAAAATCAATCCCAACCTTCCTTTTGTGGTATTTAACCTTATGGTAAAATTTCAAAAAGATCCATTCACTTAAACTAAAGTTAGAGTGCGAAAACCAATGTGTCTTCGGACGACGACGACGACGACGCCAACGTCATACCAATATACGACCACAAAATTTTTTTGCGGTCGTATAAAAATCATGTTTCATAAATTTCAGTTGACTTTTTAATAAAGTATTGGGCTTGGCTCTTTTCTACCCAGGCTTTGCTTAATCATTTGTTGCCAGTCCTGGCCAAAAATTTTTAGAATGGCCAAGGTCATATCATCAAAATCAAAGGAACAAAATTTAATCTATCATATCACTATGTAAAATTCTAACTTTGCAAACTCAAGTTTTCCTTTTAAGCAAAGCAGCAACCAACATATATTTTGTACTGAAGTAAAAATGATTTGCCAAATTTAAAAGAAAGCATAGCTCTAAATATCTTTATTTAGTTATAAATCCATAGTGTTAAACTTTAATATTAAGCAACTTTAAAATCTAAAATTACAAAATCCATGACAATGCATTAATTCAATTTGAATTTAAAATTCTATAATAACAAAATTCATGACCATGCACTATTTAGAAACATCAAACTCTAAAACGAAACCCACTATCAAATTTGTACCCCAATAAAGGCAAAGAGTTTCATTGCTCAAAAAGTAATTTATTTGTGATCAGCAAATATGTTTTGATTAGGCCAAACCAAGCAGCTTTTAGCCCCTTATCTTCAAATTATTTGTCATTGATTCTTGAAGCTCTGAAAAAATTCTGCAAACATTGAAGTGTTACACAAGAGTGCACACGCTGAAATGTCTCGCCTTCTTTACTAATCATTGATATTATGTTGATAGTCCTAAATATAAAGCTTTATTACAACTGTCACATAAACTTAACATTAACCAAGTAAACTAAACATTGACCAATGAACCATGAAAATGAGGTCAAGGTCAGATGAACCATGCTAGGCAGGCATGTACATACATTCCATACAACAAATATAGTTGACCTATTGCTTATAGTTTAAGAAAAACAGACCAAAACACAAAAACTTAACACTGAGCAATGAACCTTGAAAATGAGGTCACGGTCAAATAAAACCTGCGTGACTGACATATAGATCATAAAATATTTCCATACACCAAATATAGTTGAACTATTGCATATAGTATTAGAAAAAAAGACCAAAACTCAAAAACTTAACTTTGACCACTGAACCATGAAAATGAGGTCAAGGTCAGATGACACCTGCCAGCTAGACATGTACACCTTACAATCATTCCATACACCAAATATAGTAGACCTATTGCATGCAGTATTAGAAAAAAAGACCAAAACTCAAAAACTTAACTTTGACCACTGAACCATGAAAATGAGGTCAAGGTCAGATGACACCTGCCAGCTAGACATGTACACCTTACAATCATTCCATACACCAAATATAGTAGACCTATATTGCATCCAGTATAAGAAAAACAGACCAAAACACAAAAACTTAACTATAACCACTGAACCATGAAAATGAGGTCAAGGTCAGATGGCATCTGCCAGTTGGACATGTACACCTTACAGTCCTTCCATACACCGAATATACTAGACCTATTGCTTATAGTATCTGAGATATGGACTTGACCACGAAAACTTAACCTTGTTCACTGATCCATGAAATGAGGTCGAGGTCAAGTGAAAACTGTCTGACGGGCATGAGGACCTTGCAAGGTACGCACACACCAAATATAGTTATCCTATTACTTATAATAAGAGAGAATTTAACATTACAAAAAATCTTAACTTTTTTTTCAAGTAGTCACTGAACCATGAAAATGAGGTCAAGGACATTAGACATGTGACTGACGGAAACTTCGTAACATGAGGCATCCATATACAAAGTATGAAGCATCCAGACCTTCCACCTTCTAAAATATAAAGCTTTTAAGAAGTTAGCTAACGCCGCCGCCGCCGGATCACTATCCCTATGTCGAGCTTTCTGCG